GGATTTTGAAATACTGTGGATGTATTATACTTCATTACTTCAATTTTAATCTTACCATTTAAGAATTTAATTATATTGGTAACTTTTACAATACCATGATATTTAGTGCAAATTAAATTATCTTTTGAATTACTCATATTTATAGTAAAATTTTCTAAAATAATTTGTTTATAAAATGTTTCATTAATTGATTTATTTACTGAAGGATCATAATCTAATTCATTTTTGAGTATAGGATATTTTTTTATAGTGCAAGTTGACGTTGTATTGATTTGTTCTATTATACGGTTATACGTATCCTGAAGAGGCTATCTAGAATTTTTGCAACTTTTTTTGACAAACTGTAAATAATTTTCATACTTAAATGCAGAAAAAGCATCGCAAGTTTCCATGCTGTAACACAAAATCACTTATATGAATTAGGCCATGTACATTGTAACCTACATATTCTTTACCGTAGAGTACAGAATATTCATTTACAAATTGTCTTAATAACATTTTAGCGAAATTATTATAAGTATATGCAGTTTTAGAGGAAATTAATAATCTTATGGCACAACTTAAAAGCATAAAATGTTTATAAAAAGAGTTTTTTATTCGTCCTTTTAAAGCAATTGGCCCTGTATAAATAATGAATGTTCTAAATTCGCTAGCTTTCCAGTACTCAAATTCTTCTAAAGTCCTTGGTAAACGGTTAAAGTCAACAGGAAAAAATTATTTTATTTTATTTAATTCATTAGAAATACTTTCAGGATTGTCAAGGCGCACTGATTTTTTACCTTTTACCCAAAATGCCAATAACCTTTTCATAACACCCAAACAAATATTATGCATATATTCTAATACAACAGAAGAAGTTATATCAATGGGCAAGTATTCAAGTGGGCTTACATCTTTATGATAGAATTCATCTATTTTTGTACGAAATGACTGATCTGTCCTGTTCATATCTAAATAAGCCATTCGATTATGAATAAAATCCCCTTCAACTGTACATGAATTACACCCATGATATGCATTATGGCCTTAAACGTTTAAAACAAAAGCTTTCGCTGGGGCGTCACATACAACCTGAACTAACTCAAATTTAAAATTTTTATTATTAATGGTTATACCAGTAGATAAAATGTGTTTCATCTCATCTATAAACGGTCTTAAGTAATCATTACTAGAAGTTGGCTTTTTATATTTTCCATGGTACAGTCCTACTGGAATTACAGTTTGTGATATATTTTGTACATTAACAAATGATATAAGAATGGGCCAAAGGCTTGATTTTGAACTAGACGTTAGAGGCAAACCATCGACATTCATTCCTAGTTGTATTTGGTCATTTTTTAAATGTTCCAGGTGTGCAGTTATGAATTTAGACAACATAAATTCGATACCAAGATGTATATACGATCCTGGATGAATACTGATAATAGTATGATCATTTAGTTTAGAAGTTTTTATTAAAGTTCGTGTATCTTTAGGGAGATTAAGGCCTTCTGATCTTAAAATTAATAAGAGAGCATTTACACAGTTATGTGAAACATGAAAATCAACTATCCATTTACATAATTTTACATCAAGAGAAGTCTTTTCAATTCTTTCTTGGTTCAATAAAATAGAATCATCAAAAATATCTTCGCTAACTGTTATACTAGAATTATTGACAAACTAGTAGACTCTACGTTTAAGTTAATAAAGGAATTATTTTTTTTTTTTTTATTGGTGTTTTTATTTTTATTTTGCTCATTGGAGTACTGCTGCATGCTAAAACAAAAAAAGTACAAATGAGCATATCACAATAATACAAGTATCCTGTAGGTAGAAATATTTAAATATTTTGAACAGATCAATATTTAAATATAAGAGATAAGATTTAAAACATTGGAATTTGTTTGCATCCTTAGATCATTCTTTATTATATGCAACTAATCAGACATCGGTTAAATACTTTTATGAATTATTCATGTCTTTAAATACTTTATAATTTACCTATGTATGTTGTCTGTCAATACAATTATAATAAAAGTTCTACTTACATTATAGTAGTAACTACAGCTTATTTTATTAATATCTATGGTAATAACCAATATTAATTGTTTTATTAGTTAATTAGTTCATATTTATCGTTAATATATATTTTGTAATAACTTACTACTGTCACTCTCGTATTGAATATTGTTATTACTAATTATTGTTTTTTGTTTCTTAAGACGTCTGTAACCTCCGTCACATTCAGACTCCGAGGCTGAAGCTGATATAAAAATTTCTTTTTCTTTTACAGCAGCATCATCCTAATAAGTGTCTAAGAAAATATAAAATACCCAACATTGATTATTGATTAGGTAAATAAAACATTAAAAATTCATAAAATTTATTTTATTGTGATCTTGTATCTATTAAAAAACATTATAATAAAATATTCTTATTATTTGGAAAATATAATATAATGCTGCATACTGGATGTATAAAAGTGTATAGATACACAAAAAATTAGGTAAGATTTAAATGTAACAAATGTTTTTAAATCTCTTTATTTACTTCTAATTTTTTGATGTCTTTAAATTATTAAATTGATTTAGGTATGTAAATTAAATTTTCTTACTGTAAAACTGTGAAACGATTTTGACAGGGTACGTTGGCCAATCGTTTCCTATGTCAGCATAGTCGGCAATCATACTTCTAATATTACCTATTTTTGGCCAACTAGAAATCCACATTGTACCACATTGGATGAGCCAGTTGTGTGGAATAACTGAATATTTGTTTTCATCGTTAAAATAACCAACAACCCACTACAATTATAATTATAATATAACAACAACAATTATTATAGTAGTTATACTATTATAAATTTATCTTTTTGTATAAATAAAATACTAGAGCTTTTTTGTAATTTTAAATTAAAATATAATAAAATTATAGTCAATACACATGACATATCACCTACCAAATTTTTTCATTTTCTGTGTTAACTAAAATGAAAATCTCCAATATATGAGTATAAAAACAATACCTAATTAGATTATGTTTTTTATAGATATTAATACCATTGATAGCTTATAGGTTAACCTTTAACATAGTTATTTTCAATCAGTGGCGTGAGGAACGTTAATTTGAGAGGCAAATGCCTCTGAGTTATTATAAAGATTGGGGGTGGGTGTCTTGTTGTCCAACATAATATGATTTGTATAATAATTTTACGTTTACCTATCGGCTATCAGTTATCATCAAGTCAAAAGTAATAATAATAGCTATATAACAGAAGTTTGTATTATGGACTACGCTTAGGTAGGCTACCTTTATCTTTCTTATCTACATAAACTGGCCATGTGTTTCGGTAACCGTTATCAAATTTAAATATGATAATATTAGATCAAAAAAAACATGGCAAATCTCAAATGTCAATGTGTTCTAGTCTGTCCATGCCGATGTCAGTGTAATTTGATATTTTGATCCTCGTTTCTTTTTTAAATTATAAATCGTGTACTCGTATCGTTTTATTTTATTTATAATGGCATCTAGCAGTTGTGTTATGAAGTGTCTTTGTGGTAAAAAAAGAAATGATATGAACGATTTGAATTGGACAAGAAATTTAGCTTCATGTGAAGTACAAAAACGAAAAAAAAACAATACAGATATTTCAGCATTCTTTACTTTACAGAGAAAACGTAAATGTAAGTAAATAATACCATTGGAAATATACATATTATATGATAGAATGTTTACTTGACTTGTATTATTCTCTAAGCATTAATAATTTTTTTAGTGTCTGTAGAGATTAATAGCAACTCTGAAGATATATTAACAATAAAAAAGGATGATAAAATGACCGGTGCTTGTATTCAAGGTAAATAATAATTATAACAGTGCTTTTACATGGTTTCTAAAATTCTAAAGTTTTTACTATACATTTTAATTTAATTATTTATTGTTTTTAATTAGGTAGGTAATTATTTATAAATTTTTTTTAGAAAGTTTAGTTCGTTCAGAAATGATGGTCTAGACAATTTTTAAATATTGTTTTAAACTTGCATTGTGTATTAGATAAAATAAAATTTTGATTTGTATTATTCTCCAAGCATAAATAATTTGTTTAGTGTCTGAAGAGATTAATAGCAACTCTGAAGATGTATTAACAAGAAACAAGGATGATGAAATGACCGGTGCTTGTATTCAAAATTCTCTTGACTTGGATCATGACTCTGAACCAAGTGGTACGACAAATAATGTGGAAATAACAAATTCTAAAGGTAATTCCTTTAATAATTATTGTTTTGTGTTTTTAGTTTATTTTATTTATTTTTGTGTGTTTCAGTTGTCATGTAATCATGTTACATTTGTTATGTGTGTTTATTAACATTTAAGTCGCTTAGATAGTTATATGTTTTGTGTAGCCTTACTAAATTAATATAATTTTGTACAAAAATATTTCTTTTCTATTCTATTTCATCTAACCAATAATATATTGATTTAAAGTTATCAACTTGTTACCAAAATTATTATTTTTTTTCTTTATGTAGTCATGTAGAATTTAATGTTTTCATATTTTTATGTTATAACAATGTTTCACTATAACTAATTTTGTTTGTAAAAAAGTGTTGGTATTTTGTATAATATAGACTATATGTATAAAAGCTCAAATATATGTGATTAAGCTCTGCGTAAAACTGTTTTTATTAGAAGTTTAATATTGTGTGATGTAGTTTTTTAGCCATACATGTTAGATTTTGGTTTCTGGTGATAAATTGTTTTTAAATGAAAAAAGAATTGGCTGCAAATACCGTATTTGTAAAACAAATTGTATTAATTGTTTATTGAATATTATTAATTATCATTGATATTTGATATAATGTTGAGAAAAATGAGTGAATATTAGAAATTAGTGGACAAACCGAGCAATTAAATCCTTCAGGCACATTTCCTACAGGTAAATAAGAATATTTCATTAGGCATTAACAATAGCCATAAGTTACGTGTCTGTGTTCCTGCTTGGATCCAAAACAAAGATGGCACCGATGAAAACCGTATCCATCCCGAGACTTGAATTATGTGCTTCAGTTTTGCTCGCTCGATGGATGGCGCGCATATTAAAAATCTTCGATGGGAAACTCACGATTAACGGGCTTTACGCCTGGTCCGATTCCCAAGTCGCTTTGGCCTGGTTAATGAACTCGCATGTTTCCTTTAAGGTGTTCATTTCAAATCGTGTACATCAGGTGCGTCAACTTATTCCGTCATGCCGCTGGCTCTATGTACGCTCAGCTGAAAATCCTGCGGACTGTGCTTCAAGAGGAATACTCCCTTCGGAGCTACCCGTACATGCATTGTATTGGTCCGGCCCTACGTTCCTAAAAAACCCAATTGAAACTTGGAGCATGCTGGTCCCTTCGGTACCTGTTGAACAACTACCAGAGTTCAAACCCGTGTCGCTGGCCGTTCAAGTTACCTCAAATAAAAAATGGTTCTGTCGCTTCTCGTCTTTTATCAATATGATCAAGGTCGTCGCTTGGATGCGCAGGTTTATCGGCTTATGTAAGAAACGAACGTATTCCAACAATTTCTTGTCACGTGAAGAGATAAATCATTCGTTAATGGTAATTGTACAATTTTCTCAACAACGTTGGTTTCCTGAGCTGATTTTGGATCTGTCACGTGGCCGTGGTGCAGCTCGCCCATTATCTAGTCTACGGCCATTTCTGAATTCGCAAAATATTGTGTGTGTTGGTGGCCGATTACTGAAGTCCGATTTAGCCGATGCGGAAAAACATCCGATGCTGCTGTCCAAGGAGTCACACCTTTCTTTGTTAATTGCACGCCACTGGCACTTAGTTACGTGCCACTCAGGTCCCCGAGTCATCACGTCTTTAATCATACGGCAATTTTGGATCTTATCGATGAGATCGGTAATTCGCAAGATGATCGGCAATGTACTCCATGTGTCAGAGCTATTGCCCAATCGCCACATCCCGTGATGGGTAATCTTCCCAGTTCACGAGTCCAAGCATGTCGACCCTTTTCAAAAGTTGGAGTGGATTATGCTGGCCCACTGCCAATGCGTGAGAGTAAGTTGCGAAAAACCCGACAGTATAAAATTTACGTTTCTGTTTTTGTCTGTATGGTCACCAAGGCTGTGCATTTGGAAATTGTAACAGAGCTATCTACAGCAGCCTTTTTAGCCGGCTTCGATCGTTTTGTTGCCAGACGTGGTCTTCCAACAGACGTGTACTCCGACTGTGGAACCAACTTCAAAGGTGCGTCAAAATATCTGTTTGAGGTCATCAACGATCCAGCTAATCACCATCTACTGTCATCTCATTCTTTCTGCACGTGGCACTTCAATCCACCCGCAGCACCTCATTTTGGCGGCCTATGGGAAGCGGCTGTGCGTTCTTTTAAAACGCTCCTTGTACGAACCGTCGGTGATCATAACCTTACCATGGAGGAGATGTCAACCTTACTGTGTCGGATCGAAGCTGTGTTAAACTCCAGACCTCTGACTCCAATGAATCCTTCTCCCTTAGATTTGGACTATTTATCACCTGGTCATTTTCTTATCGGGCAACCACTTCTGGCGGTTCCTGATTTGAACATTCCCGAAGGACGTTCCAATGTGCTGACACGATGGAAGCTACTACATCAATGTCACCAATCATTCTGGCGTCGTTGGTCTACGGAATATTTGGCTTCTCTTCAAGTCCGGGGCAAGTGGACAACGGATGTGCCCAACATTCAGGTTGGACAAATGGTCGTGATCAAGGATAACCAAATTCCTCCAACATCCTGGCGATTGGGTCGCATTCTGGAAGCGAATGCTGGCCAAGATGGCGTGATACGAGTCGCCAAGATACTAACATCCACGGGGGAGTTAACTCGTCCGGTCGTTAAGTTGGTATTGTTGCCCATGGATTAAAGGTCGAATCGATGGTTGCAATCCTTCTTCTTAAATCATGTACATAGATATATTAAAACACTTCCATATTTCTTTTCTGTTCCTTATGTACCTTAAAAAAAAAATAATGTAATATGAAATTTTCTCCTCTTTGTAAAAAAAAAAAAAATGTCCACTTTGTCTGTTGAACTGTAAACGTCTGTGCGCCTTATGTCACGATTCAACAAAATCAGCAAATCCCAAGAGATACGTCATCATCAATCAAAAGAGATCTTCACAATGTGAGGCTGGATCATCGCTCCCTCACATGGGGGAGAATGTTGGAGATTACGATTATCGACGCGCCGCCGTTTTGACCGGTTTCACGTATCTGTGCACAGAGTCGTGATCACCCGTGGACTTTGGTCCAGACGGCCGGTCAACGGTGTTTATCTCTGTGGTTTTCGTGTCGCCAGCTCTGTGTGGCGTACATCGTCCTGTTACCGCATTCAGTTATACTTCGGACCAGCACGACTGCTGTACGGGTCTGTCGTCTCTGAAAGTTAGTACTAACTTATTGTCGACTACCGTTCGCCACTGTTACTGCCTGTTGCCTACGTTTACGGCCGTGTATTGATGCTCTAGTATTAAACGTCGCTTCACCATCGCTTCGGTAAATGTAAACGACATTAAATTGTATTGCGTGTTATCACGTAGCGCCGCCGGTAGTAGGCATCGTACGTAGTTGTCGCTGTTGGTGTTACACAACGTCGGTCATTGAGTATGACAATTTTGTAGCTGCCGTCACCATTGCCGAGACTGTTGGTACCACTCCGTCGGGCACTGTACGCTGATATCTCAACCTCCGCCGTCATAATATAATCAGTCGTATCATTTGTTATTATTACTGTATTTTCTCTATCATTATTTAATCATATTATAACTATAAGATTTACCATCATTCTGTATACGCGCGTAGGAATTATATATATATATATATTACTGCTGTTCCATATGTTTATTATTTTGTAATAAATTCCAAAATATGTGTGTATATAAATTTACAAGCTTTTCATTTTCAATATTCTGTATCAGTTTTATTAACCAACGCAAGTCGTCAGATTAACCGCCTCAAGGTAGGAGTTTGATGGCGCAACAGTCAGTGTGTATATATTAATTGGTACCTATAGATTTCTTCCTACGTACGTAATATATTTTTCTTTTTGCTGGATTTTTTTTTTGTTTGGATTCAAATGTGTAGGTTGTTATAGGTAGAACATAACAATATATGTGTTTAAACAATTATATAGTGTATATGTCTAAACAACAAGTTATTTTTGTTGTTTTTTGTTTTAGAAATGCCTCGCAAATATATACCCGATCCTAGATGCAAACGACATAAATGGCATGAACCTAAAGCAATAAACCAATCTCTCATCCTTATCCAACGGTGACCGTTCAAAATACCTTCGAAATAATATCTTTAGTCAAAATATCTTAGTCAAAATATCTTGTGGCAAAATATCTTACGGCAAAAATGTCTTTAGTCAAAATATTTTTTAAGCTAATTTTTTAATTTATATTCATGTAATCAATTAATCTCTATATACTCAAATATACGTCGGAAGACCTCCGTCGGAAGACTATGATTGTGAGCAAAGTGTTACAAGTGGTATTTATATATTTCATATTATTTTATTTATTTATTTAATTACAAATAGTTTTTTATAGTAATTTTTCAACCATCATTTTTTCTATGTTTTTTTTACAATAAGATTTTTATAAGGATCATACTAATTACTAACACTATATTACTAAACAATTATTATAAATAATGTTGTAGGTACACGATATATTTATAAAAATAAAATAAATAAATAATATGAATAAACATTTTTAAAAAATCAGTTTAAAAGATATTTTAACCGAATACATTTTTGTCATAAGATATTTTCACAAAAGATATTTTGATCAAGATATTTTGACCGAAGATATTATTTCGAAGATATTATGACATGGAACCACCGATACCTAGTTCGAACGGTGGAATTTACGGGCTTAGACACAATACGAAATAGCTCTAACGAGACTTTAAGATTGAAAGAAATAGAAATAAAAAAAAAAAATTGGAATTCACAATTTTACACGGGGATCATGACACAAGATCAGAACGTAACATACCAAAATGTTTACTCGACCATATAGAGGTAGCAAATAACCAGCTAGACGAACCATTTTCGGAAGACAAAATCAGAATTATTACGCAAAGCATATAGTAACGTTTTTGAAGTAAATATTTAATACCTCAAAGTAAACAAATAATACTACTTCTTAAATTAATTGTAATAATGTTTAACCAAAAATATTTTTATAGTTAATAAAACAGCCTGAATTTTATATGTTTTAGAATTCATAATTATCTTGTGTTATTATATTTTAAAAATGGCTTTTAATAAATAGAATATAATAAAAAATTATAAAATTCACATTTACATTTATATTTACAACCTTTAACAATCAAACAAAATTTATACTTTTAGATGAAATCTATTTGTTTTGTATAATAATTTTATAATTTATATAATTTAAATAATTTTCTTGTTTGTATTAATAATTAATATATGAAAATTATTTTTATTATTTAATTTAAAAAAGGGTTAATTTGACAAAAATAATTAATAACCTAATGAAAAAAAATATATAAATAGGAATATTAGATTTACATACACCTACTCTACTTAGTTTTATTTAAAATTAACAAATTAAGCATTTAAAACTTTTGGAAAAATATTCAAAATATTTCTGGAGACTGTCAAGTTAAGATATTTTCTATTATTACATTTATATTGATCATTTTGATGAGTCTTATACAAATGTAATCTTTAAATAATCATAAATAATATTGTTTGAAGTTTCTTTATAAATAATTTAATCTCAATAACGATACTTATCTTATTAAATTTAAATAATTCTACTCAAGACGGGTCACATTGGGTTGCATGGAAAAAAATAAAAAATAAAAAAATTTATTTCGATTCATTTGGAATGCCTCCTCCTCCAGAACTTGTAAAATATTTAGGTGAAAATAACCATCAATATACTGATGATAAATTCCAAGATTATGATGATCCACCTATATGTGGACATTTATGTTTAGAATTTATTAAAAACTATAAACAATTTATTTAAAATTTAATAATATAAAATGAATGGTGACGATCTAATATATTGTCTTAAATGTAAAATTCAAACAAAAAATATTAATACAACTAAAATTCAAACAGTTAATGGTAGATGGAGAATTTCATCAAAATGTTTCAAGTGTAACACAAATAAAAGTAAATTTATAAAAAATTCTACAATTGGACATAATATTTCCAATAAAAAATTAAATGATACAGATAAAATGATATTAGCTAAAGAACTTCATAAACCAGTTAGAAAAAAATTTCCTAAACGAAGAATAATTACTAAAGGTATAGATGATTTATGGGCTGCTGATTTAGTTATAATGAGAAATTATTCTGATGAAAATGAGGGTTATTCTTATATATTAACTGTTATAGATACATTTTCAAAATTTTCTTGGGCTTTAGAACTCAAAAAGAAAGATGGAATTAATGTTTCAGAAGCATTTAAAAAAATAATAAAACAAGCTATATCACAAAATCATCAAGCACCAAAATTACTTCACGCAGATAAAGGTTTAGAATTTGAAAATAAACATTTTAAAAAAGTTTTGCAAGAATATGAAATTAAAATGTATCACACCCAAAATGAAGAAAAATCATCAATTATTGAAAGATTTAATAGGACATTAAACAGTAAAATGAGATTACAATTTGAAGTTACAAATTCTAAAAAATGGATTAAAATTTTACAAAGTTTAATATATGAATATAATTTCAAAGACATACATCGATCTATTGGTATGAGACCTTGTGAAGTAAATAAATCTAACGAAGATGTTGTTTTTCACAAATTATTTTCTACAAAAAACAAACCTAAACCAAAAATTAAATTTAGTGTAGGTGATAGAGTAAGAATAACAGCTTCTAAAAAAACATTTGGTAATAAATTTATTAATAATTGGACAAAAGAAAT